AACAAATACAGGCCTCTTAGACCCAAGTCAGATTCTACACACGCACGCTCCTAAGGTCCCAAGGAGCACACCCTGTGCCTGTTGAAGATACTTCGGAATGTGCTCAGCCGTGGGATGGATCTGTCTGTCAGCCACGATGCACACTCATGTCAGCAGCTGGGCACACATGTTCAGACGGCTGCCCAGGCAGCTCCTCCATATTTCTTTCCCTGCTTCTGCCCATCTAGAACAATGCTTCAAAGCTACTCCTGGCCATCATGGAAAGCAGACACGATAGTGAAAATGCAGAGAGGATCCTGTACAACATGAGGCCCAAGGAGCTGGTGAGTTGTGACTGATCCCTTGCCCGTGGTATCAAAGAACCTCAGAGCAAATAATTGAGACAGAGTAAAGGACCTGCTTTTTTGAGCTCCCGAAAGCATTCCCCAAATCAAAAGTATCAAGGATCATTTAATCCAGGCCTGTGGCTGGGTAGAGAAGTGTAGCAGTGTACGTGGGGTGCCTCGCCTTGTCCTGTCAGCACAGACCACATATAGAAGCTTCCCCCGCCTTTGCTCACTCACGGAGAACAGTGTGCAGTAGGCGAGTCTGGGTTCATGGCCATGGCTCAGTGCTTTAACTGTGTCCCGTCAGGTAGCTCTTTGAGCTGCACTGTCCTGATCTGTAGAAGAGACTATGGTAAGATGACTTACATTGAAGGGCTATTTTCAAGTCTACAACACGAGTCACATCAACACCTTTAGCACAGCACCCAGCATGTAATCCTTTATGAGCTGAGGGCCATTTTCTTTTCTTTATTCATTAGGCAGTGTTCTACCATTGAGTACATCCCAGCTCTTGTTTTTGTTTTGTTTGTTTTTGTTTTGTTTTGGTGTTAGTGGGGGGTGGGGGTGGGCAGGAGCAGGAGTAGGAGGTTGAGACACAGTCCCATGTAGTTCAGGCTGGCCTCAAACTTACTGACTGTGTAGCTGAGGCTGTCCCTGAACTCTGGGTCCTCTACCACCACCTACCAAGTATTGGGGTTATGGGTTATGCACCACCGTTCCCTGACAGCCTCGGGTGTTTGAAATAATGACTTGCTATAACCCAGCTGACCTTAATCTCACAATCACTTTACTCCACACGCTGGGATTACAGGTGAGTGCCACCACACGTAGCCCCCGCCACATCTTTTTAGGACTTACAAGTTCACATCTGTCCTTGGTGCCAGTAATCTGAACAACAGAAGAATCTATTTTGAATGTTGATGTTTAGTTTTTTGTTTTCTTAAAACATAACCTGGTTTATTTTCAAAGAGCAACATTTGTGATGGGCTGTGACGTCCATGTTGGGAGTTGTTGTGAACTCTGAAAGGAGCAGTGTTCAAGGATGGGTGATACGAGTTGAGTCTGTTTGGACTGTGCTCCATGCAAATAAACTGTAACTGACAGATTTAAATGAGGGCATTAAAACGTTTCTCCCTCCCAGTGACCTGAATGTGCACTAGAGACCAGACCAAAGTCCCTTTATGTATTCCTTCAAATAAAAGTTCACAGCAGCCTGGCTCTTTGATCCCAGAGGTCAGGGAATGAGTTCTCAGGAGAGACAGGAGTCTCTGCAAGTTTACATAACAGCTTATGTAACTGGGGTAACCTGGTAGCTAAAGGGTCGTCATTATTTAGTATAGTCAGAATGGCCTTTGTATAGACCCATTCCGGCTCTTAGGAATCAAGAATGTGCCCTGGCTCTTCAAGACTGTCTCGAGTAGAGGAAATGCCACAACCCCTTGCTATGGCTGCCACCAACTCCTGGGTTTCCCCCTTGTGGTTAGAGAACATTATTCTGGATCATAGAAAGGGTCAAATCTTCTGAGAGTAAATAGGGTTCTAAGAAGACAAATAGAAAGAGTGTTTGGATATCCAGAACACATCCGTGTGTGCACATGATTGCATGCATATGTGTGCAAGCACCTATCGGTGACCTTTGCATATTTTTTTTTTTTTTTTCCGTTTTTCGAGACAGGGTTTCTCTGTGTAGCTTTGCGCCTTTCCTGGGACTCGCTTGGTAGCCCAGGCTGGCCTCGAACTCACAGAGATCCACCTGGCTCTGCCTCCCGAGTGCTGGGATTAAAGGCGTGTGCCACCACCGCCCGGCCGACCTTTGCATATGTAACAAGCTGGGTTTGGTTTTAGAACTGCTGGGAAAACAAACTCAGGGAGCGAGGGTCTCATCTCCAAAGTGACATCTAGCAGCTGACCCACTGTCAGGACAGAATATGTGGCTCTCTGCAGGCTTTACCTTGGATAATAAGAAAGTCCCCAATAATGGCTAGTGGCAATGAAGAAGGTACCCCCAGGCTGACATACCTTCTGAAGCATCAAAGGAAATGATTAATTCTTGGTATAACTGAGCATATTTATTCTTAGTGTTTGAATTAATAAATTCTGAATGATATGTTTACTTAGGGAAGCTTGGCAGGGCCACCTCTGCGCATTGTGCTGATTGCCAAGGGATAGCTTCAGATGTAAGCGGCTCCAGCCCCTGCACCCTGGGAACCACAGTGAGTGAGAACAGTCCACAGGTAGTAAAATGCTCTAAGTATACTACTAGGTTATGAGGAGTCCTAGAGTCAGGCAGGCAGCTGTGAAGGGTAGTGGCCAAGTTGAAATCCTAGCTCATTAACCATGACCTTAGCAATGTTCTTTTATCTCTTTATTTCTGCCTCTGTAAAGGAGTGGAAGTTTCTGAGACCTCATAAAATGTTTGTGAGCATTGCACTTTAACAGACGTTAGCACACTGAACACAGTCTTTGACAGAGCACAGGTTTTCAGGGGTGACGCTGGTTCATGAGGTTACCTTCCCGTGGGGTAGGGTCTGGGAGACTTGGACTTAGAAAGTAATTTTACTACTTACCTAAAAGTTACACCATAGAGGGTCCTTTTCCACTGTGGGTTCCAGGATTCAGACTCAGGTCTTCAGGCTTGCATGGCAAAGCCCTTTTAGCCAGTGAACCATATCTCACCAACCCCTTTCCCTCGACCCTGTCAAGGTGTTTTTATAACTGCCATCATCTTCTAAAGCAGAAGGATATGAACCAGCCACTGAATGTTGGTTGGTCCAAGTGGAGTGAATGAACTTCTCTTGTCGGTGAAGGTTGACTGATACTCACTGCCAGCATCATTATCACTGAGGAGTCAGGGACCGTATCCCAGCAGGCTGGGATACGGTCCTTGGTGAGCAGTGTCTGCTCCATGAGTAGGGATTGCTAAGTGCTATAAATGCCAGTCCTGCATGGGTCACCCCTGAGTCAGGAAATGTCTTCTCTTGTCCCTTCTCAAAGGTGGAGGTGATCAAGAAAGCCTACATGCAAGGTGAAGTGGAATTTGAGGATGGGGAAAATGGTGAGGATGGAGCTGCCTCCCCCAGGAATGTGGGCCACAACATCTACATACTCGCTCACCAGGTACAGCCCTCCCTCCCTCGCTTTTCTAGACACCATCAGCATTCTAAGTTGCCCGGGGACTGGCTCTTCCTGGAAAGCTTTCTCCTAGCACTGTTGGTACCCGTGTGAACATGGCTTGCAGGTGTGTTTGGCCACCTGCCTCGAGGGGCTGAATTCCAGAACGCTGCCATTTTCCAGTGTGGTAGGTCAGGGACTTGGAAATCCCCACGCTCTGTTCGCGCATCTCCCCTGGAGCAGTGACACTGGGTACTTTGTCTGGAGCCACTGAAAAGGAGTCCTAGGCATTTTATAAATACTAATGAATCCCTCTTAACAATGTGAAGAAATAAACTTAAGCCTCCTTGCCTATCACATTTGGGGATCTGTGGGAACCTGTCCTTAGAGTTTCCTTTTGTTTGTCTTTCTGGGCAATACTTTCTGCCTTGACATCAGAATGCCAGATTTCATAATCTCTTCCTAAGTGGCTTGGTTTTTGAAGTTGCTTCTTCTTTGGGTGTACTGGTGTGCCTTCAGCTTTTGAGTGGGGATGGACAAGCTGCAGCCCAGCTGGAGGCTGACATGTCCCTTTCTTAGCCCCTTTTAAACTTGGGTACAGTACCTGGGTATGGCACAATGAAGGCAAGAGGCCTGCAACTGCCAGGTCCCTGCCCCTGCACATCTACTGCAGGATTCCAAATGCTCCTCTGTCCCACATCATCTCCATACTCAGCATCTAGCATCCAAAAGCATCTAAATAGTCCCAGAGTGGAGGCTTAATAGGGTACACAGAAAACCTCATGTCCCTCCTGCCTGGCTTAAGAAATCAGAGAAAAGGGGGACCCTGCATGGGCATGAGCCGTCCATTCTTTTATGCCAGACTCCCAAAATAGCCTCTTTGCAGAGCAGAGCTGAGCAGAAGGGAATAAGCCTCTTGGTACTGTGGCCTTTGGCTTACTGCAGGTCATTTTGCATTTTAAACTCGGAGTCAGAAAGGCTGTGGGTATAGCTCAGTTGGTAGGATGCTTGCCTGGCATGTACAGAGGCCTGGTTGTGGAGGTGTTTACCTGTAAAGTCAGAACTTAGGAGAGAGGGGCAGGGAAAATCAAATGCTTAAGGTCATCCTCAGCTATGTAGCACACTCAAGGTCAGCCTGAGATACATGAGACCTTGTCTCAAAGAAATAAACCTCGAGTTTAAAAGTAGCTCTCAGCCGGGCGGTGGTGGCTCACGCCTTTAATCCCAGCACTCGGGAGGCAGAGCCAGGAGGATCTCTTTGAGTTCGAGGCCAGCCTGGTCTCCAAAGCGAGTTCCAGGAAAGGCGCAAAGCTACACAGAGAAACCCTGTCTCGAAAAACCAAAAAATAAAAAATAAAATAAAAAATAAAAGTAGCTCTCAGAATCCTTGACCCCGAATTTCTCTTTGCTTGTGTTCTAGTTGGCTCGACATAACAAAGAACTTCAAACCATGCTGAAACCTGGAGGCCAGGTGGATGGTGATGAAGCTTTAGAGTTCTATGCAAAGCACACGGCACAAATTGAGGTAAAACAAACAAATAAAACTAAAAACACAGTCAAGGCCTGAACAGGGAGAGCTCAGGCAGCCAGCCTGGACCTTGAGTGGATGGTACCCTGGATCAGGGTTGGCATGTTCTCTCTGCTCTCAGCAATAAAAATGTTGGGAGTGCTTCCTATTTACTAGGTTCCTCCGTTAGGTACTAAATGTCCAGTGGTGGCCAAAAGTATCATGATTACTGCTTAGGGTCCAGATGGGGGAGACACACACTAATCGGATCCATATGGATTTAATTACAAATTCTAGCCAGTACCTAAAACAAGTGGGTAGGGCTAAGGAGATAGTTCAGTTGGTAAAGCATTTGTCATGCAAGTGCAAGGACCCACTGCACCTTCCAGAACCCACATAAAAAATTCAGGTGTAGTGTCATGCACTCTAATCCCAGTGCTGGGAAGGCAGAGTTAGGCAGATGACTGGACTTTCTTGGTCTACTTGAAGAGCCATTGGTCAGTAAGAGACCCTGCCTCCAAAAAGAGAGGGGGAATGGACAGCAGGGGGGGAGAGTGCCTGATAAATGATACTCAAGTTGACTCTGGCATATATTTATCAGCACACACCTGTACATATGAACATATACACACCCAAAGTCTAGCAGAGGGACCTGCTGTAGATTATAGTGACCCAGGAGGTCTGTTCTGAAGAAATAACATCCAAATAAATAGGGTGCAAGAACTCAGGACTGAAGTGGGCAGTGCCCAGAGGGAGGAGTTTTTCTGATCTCCACAAGGAAGACCGCAGGTAAGGGGTGCAGCTAGAGAAGGTGTGTATGGCTGGAAATGAGTGAGTCAAGAGGGAAATGGTGCAAGATCAGGAGAAGAGGCAATCCAGAGCATCTGAAGCTTACACACTCCTGGGAAGAAGTCTACACTTTATCCAGAGAGCATTGGAACGGCTAGCATTTCACCCACGGGGCCCCACCATCCACCATGCATTTTACACAGGACAAAACACTCTCACTGACCTTCTGAAGTGTGCGGCATCACATCTGTAGCAAATGGAGGAGCTCTTCCGTAAGGCTCAGTGAAGATGCACCCTTCCCAGCTGTCAGTGTCACAGCTGGAGTTTTAGTCTCAGGCTGTATGACTCCTGAGTATGGGATACACTTCATATCACCTGCATTGACTCTTAGCATCTGAAAGGAAACATGTCTGGCTCCAGGATCTAGGTAGTCAGCATGTTGTACCTTGTTTTGCTAATGAATTTAGTATCAGTATCAAAAGAGAGATTTGGAAGATCTAAGAGACTCGTTGGACAGAATAACACATTCAGAACATTCTTACCTGCTGTCTCAGCTCTCCAGGTCGTCCCCATGAAATGCTTCACTGACGAACTCGTCAGCCGTGCTGAATGTATGTGAACACTTGGTCCTCATTTATTGGCCAGCTTTGTCCTCTTCATCCTTTAGGAGACAAGCTTGACAGTACAGAATGTTAAAGATGAGTAGAATCTGGAGGTGTCATCCATCTCTTAGGTCCAGTTGGGAGAAGACTGGAGTCTGATGAATTCTCTTACTACTAGAGGTAGAGAAGGAATGTTGTTCTGTTTCCTGAGTCCCACTGCCAAATCTGCTTAAACAATGAAAATTTAAAAACTCTTACTAGCCTCCAAATCCTGCCCTTGGCTGACCAGGACCCTCCCTTTGATTCCGTCGAGGGTTATGTGTGCAGACCTGGGGTACTGTGTCATAGCTGCTTGAGGCTGTGCTAGCACACTCTGGAGTCTTCACGCTTCAGCCATGGAATGGCATTCTAGTTAGAGGTCTTCCTCTGCCCTCCCTTTGCCTCCTGAAGCCTGCTACATGTCTCTTTTGTGAGTAGGTGAATGAAGGAATGGCCCCAGATGTTGTCTGTGTGAAGTGGATGGCCACTTCCTAGCACGTGTTTGGAACAGGTCCTTGAGCCTATGTCCCTGGCAGGTTCTAGGTGCTACTACATACTATACTTCCAGTTTAACCAGGTTGCTTTGAACCAAAACCATTCTGACAACAGAATGATTCCAAAGCCCTCCAAACCTAAGCTCCAGCTAGACTCAGGAGGCGCTGTTCCTGTGTTCTTACTGAATCAGAGCTGTGAGAACCTGCCTGACCTCCAGAAGTTTCCCACCGCAGCTGGGCCTGAGTCACCTCTCTTGCCCCATCAGGGAACAAAGGTATTGAGAGAGGGAGCAAGCTCTTCCTGTCAAGGGCGTCAGCCTGGGCTTCACCTGACTTCCTCAGTCTCTGGGGAAGAATAAAAGAAGGCCAAGAGGCCATGTCTCTGGTGTACTGCAGCCCATGGCCCTTTAGAACTCTATCCTTGAAACTGTGACTAATTGGAATCGGACTACTCTGGAGACGAAGGCCAATGAGGAAGAGAATGGCGGAAACCTGTAGGCATCCACTCCTGGGGCCCCACGAAGCCAGTTTAAGGAACACTGATATCCTCCCAGAGGCAGTAGGCATATTGGTTCACGTATCACACATTCTGGACATTATGACAAGATGTAGGAGGTTGTTACAAATGTGATATAAAAGCAAAGGTCTGTTCTAAAAGTCCCTATGTAGGGATAACCCAGGTTTTGCTATCTGAGAAAAGGTAGTGAGTTGAGGCTTATACTATGACCCAGCATTGCCCTATCTAGTATGCTAACCATCAAGCCATACCTATTAAATCAAAATTAGTTACAAATAATTATTCTGTTGCTAATTTGCAGTAACTACATGTGCCTAGTACTCAGTGGCCTCTGTGACTAGTGGCTGTCCTCTTGGACACACTAAGAACAGCCCGATCACTGTAAAAAGTTCCATTGTATAGTACCAGCCTCAGCAGAATATCCTAACAAAACACAGGATAAGTTTTTCCAGATGAACACTGATCATATTTAAAGGAAAAGGAAGAATGGAATTCTCATCTGTTCATTTTCATCAACTAATTTTTACGCCATACAGTGTCAATGTCAGTTGCTACTGGGTATTTTAACCAGGCTGAACTGGTTAGCTTGTGAAATTGTGCTGGTTATCTTTAAGCCTATCAGTTGTTTGTCCAGACAAATACTTGGGCAGTGTCTAGTCAAGGTTGTACATTGTTCATCTACAGTCTCAAAACAGAATCATTTTAAAATGCCTTGGGAGTGTATAGAGTGTAACTATTATAGCTTTATGATTCTAGTGATTTTAAAAAAAGATAAATATTCCATGTTACAGTCACAAAATTAAAACCAGTATTTTAAAGTGGAGAAGTATTAAGATTATAGGAGGAAAGTCAATAATATTTAAATGAATGGAGTATGAGTTTAGACAAAATCTTACGGACTTAACAAAACTTTTATGTCTGGTATGTGCATGCAGGAAGGCACACACACACACACACACACACACACACACACACAGAGACAGAGACAGAGACAGAGACATCCCAACCAGGGGCTTTCAAATCAGACAGATTCACATTATCCTGAGCCTCGAACCCTGAATTCACTGCCAATAGCAAAGCAAAAGAGTCTTTGTTAAAAGCTCAGGGAATAACTGCTTACCCTCCACATATTTTAACCCTAGATTGTCAGACTGGACCGAACAATGGAACAGATTGTCTTCCCCGTGCCCAGCATCTGTGAATTCCTGACTAAGGAATCCAAACTGCGAATATATTACACCACGGAGCGGGATGAGCAAGGCAGCAAGATCAATGACTTCTTCCTGCGCTCCGAGGACCTCTTCAATGAAATGAACTGGCAGAAGAAACTTCGAGGTGAGTTATAGTGCCTGGACATGCTCTAGAAACCTGCAGCTCTGGGGCTCATGCTTGGTCTGGGTAGAAGCCATTCAGGGGTGGTTGGTGATGTTCCCCTCTGAACACAGACAATTTTGGTATTTCAGTATATGGGCCCGATCTAAAGGCTCTAAATGGGCTGTATTCATGCGGCATTTGATTTGATGGGCCCAGGGGGCTTCATGGATGACTTGGAGTGCCTGTTTGGGTGTTTCCCTGTGGAAACTTAACTAGACACAGAAAAGGCCAGGCCCCTTTCCTTCACAGGCTGGTTCCCTTGGGCTGAGAATGCAGACAGGCACACCTGTTCCTGAGACTCTTCTGTTTTCCCTCTGATGGAGCAGCTCAGGTTCAAAACTCCCAGTCATTTTACAGGCGGTGTAATTGTTTGCCGAGTAAGATGCAGCGTTGCTCACCAGCAGGTCCCGTGGTAAAGCCCAGCCAAGTCAGATGGAGATTACTCTACTCATCTAAAGCACATTTATAGCCCCCCCCCCCCCCCCCCCCGCAGGGCTTCGGGCTCCCAGTTTTCATTAGGTTTTAATGTGATCCTTCAGCAGCAGCAGCCTGCTTGGCATCAGCTGTTGTGACCAACTTTGAAAGGATCATGCTTTATTTGTGTGTGTGAGTTGGGAGCCAGGTTTTTTTTTTTTTTTTTTTTTTTTAATTCAAAACTCTGAAGTCAAGCTCCAGTTGAGATCTTGAAGGCTCTTTGCAGGGTGCGGCTGGAACAGGGGAGAGCTGTGTCAGAGATCGGTTTCCGGGACTTGTGCTATCTCTGGTCCCTGCCAGTCTGAGCAGAGCCAGGCCTGCTTTCCTTACCAGGCTTGCTTTGTGCGCCTTCCTCCCCATTTCCCTCCACCCCCGGAGTCACACGTGGCAAAGAGTTGTGCAATCCAGGGTAGTAGCGGGCCCTCAGCCCCAAGGTGGGGGAGGAGAGCAGGCGGCTTAACTGTTCCCAGACCCTCAGCCATCCGGTGGACAGTTGTAGCTGGAGTTTTCTCTCTGGGTCCTGCCAAGCCCCAGCAGTCCGACAGCCCACTTATAAAATAAACACACAGACGCTTGTGTTATTTACAAACTGTATGGCTGTGGCAGGCTTCTTGCTAACTGTTCTTATATCTTAAATTAACCCATTTCTGTAAATCTATACCTTGCCACGTGGCTCGTAGCTTACCGGCATCTTCACATGCGGCTTGTCATGGCGGCGGCGGCTGGCAGTGTATGCCTCACTCAGCCTTTCACTTTCCAGAATTCTCCTCTCTCCTTGTCCTGCCTATACTTCCTGCCTGGCCACTGGCCAATCAGTGTTTTATTTATACAGAACGATGTCCACAGCAGACAGTCAAGATTCATTTACCGCAGAAAGGCCATCTTGCTGTTCCGTGAGTTTTCTCGAAGCGCAGCTAGTACCTTCTCTCATTTCAGCCCTTCTGTTTTTGAAAAATAGTGTTTGTTTTAGGGAAGTTTAAGGACAACTATGCTTGTCATCTGAAAATTTTTTAATTGGCTTCAAAGCTATCTACTAAGATAAAAATGGAAACTGATAAGTGAGTTAAACATTCCAAGTGCTTAGGAAGGGAAGAGATGCTCTCATTAGAAGCTGCGTTAAAATGGAACACGCTTCTCTTCGCTAAGTCCCTGACTTCTCTTCTACCAAGTGTGCCCAGGAGATTGTTCTGTCGTGTTTGTGAGGCTGGCTTACCTTTGGCTGAAGTTACGTACGAAGGTTGTGACTGTGTGATAGGAAATCAGTAGCCAGTTCACCCTCAGTGTCTCTTTGGCCACTGATATTAGTGTTTTATAGTGTTAAGAAGTCAGTCTGGGACTGGAGAGATGGGTCAGCGGTTAAGAGCACTGGCTGCTCTTGCAGAGGAGCTGAGTTCACTTCCTGGCACCTGCCTGGCCACGCACAGCCCTCAGTAACTCCAGTTCCAGGGAATCTGACAGCCTCCTTTGGCCTCTGTGAGTACCAGGCACATACACACATGCAACATAAATACTCATACACATAAAATAAAGATAAATAAATCCTTTTTAGAAGAAATGAGTTTTGTCTTCTTTAAGAATTTCTCACCACAAGCCCTTTCCTGCTTTATTCTTGAAACACACACACACACACACACACAAACACACACACCCTTCTGTGTGTACACGTTCTTCTTGGGCCATCCCTTTCTGCCATCTGAAGATCATGTCTGGTGAAGAGAAGATTCTAGGCTGTGGTAACTGGAAGACAGAGCAAGAAGAGGCTCAGATAAAGTTGCTTATGCTGACCCTTTCTTGCTGGGAATTGTCCCTCATGCTCATCACATTAGAGGTGGGAAATGCTGTTTGTGTGGAGTCTCAAGTCATCCAGAAAAGCCCAGTTTCTTTAAAACAAATAACCAGGAAGGAGTGTGACCAAGACATGCCCTGGATGCGGTTATTTCAATAGCTTTGGCTGTCTTGGGTGCTGGCCTTCTACCTTCCTGCTGTTGTGCGGCAAGTGTATCAATCTGGCTAAATTACAGTCCTTAGTAAAAGCAAACACAGTGCAGGATGCAGTGGGGGTTTTAGCAGTGTGCATATTTCTTCCTGTGGGAACTAACGAGCTGTAAGGAGACAGACAGCACAAGCATATTTTTAAGTGGCTACAATACAAAGCTGATTACGACCAGGGCTATAATCAAGCAATGACAGGTTACAGAAGTATGGGAAATACAGACTTGAAAGAAGAGCGATGGTGGTGACATCTAGCAGGGGAGGCCAACACAGCCTAAAAGATG